GCTGGAAGAACTCACATTTATTTTTACGGACCCTCAATCTATATTCTTCCAGTTTCTGCAAAGTTGCATCCAGATTTCACGGGTGTTCTTCCTCTGTTTTTCCCGTGACAAGTATGTCATCCAGATAGCACTGTACTCCATTTAATCCATCGTGTATCTGATCCATTGCACGTTGAAAAAGTGCTGGAGCTGACGTTATTCCAAACGGTAGTCTGCGATATCTGTATAACCCTTTGTGAGTGTTTTTGGTAAGTAGCTCTCTTGAGTTTTCTTGAACATGCAACTGAAGGTAGGCTTGGTTTAGGTCAATTTTGCTGAATTTTTGTCCTCCAGCCAAACCAGCAAACAGATCACCTATGTGAGGGAGAGGATACTGTTCCATTTCTAGACCTGGATTTACTGTTACCTAAAAATCCCCACATATTCTTACAGAATCATCCTTTTTTTATGACCGGTACAATTGGTGTGGCCCAGTCACTCCGACTTACAGGTTCAATTACTCCATTCTTGATTAAGACCTCCAACTCTGCTTCGACCTTTGGCCGTATGGAACCGGTCTGGCCTTTAAGAACCTTGGTCGGCTGTCTGGTTTAACTCTCAGATTGACCGTTATGTCCTTCATGCTCCCCAATTCTTCTTTAAACACCACAGCATGCTTGTTCAACACAGTGGCTAGGTCTAGATCTTGCTTCTGCAGCATGTAAATTTCAGACCAATTCAATTTAATTTTCTCTAGCGACGATCTGCCTAGCAGAGATGGAAAATTTCCTTTCACCACATACAGGGGTAAGTCCACAGCTTGGCCATTTGTTTGAACGGTGACATTAACCACCCCTTTTGTTGGTACTGGTTCACCAGTATATGTTCTCAGGATGAGACTGGATGGTGTCAAGGGAAGGTGTTGCAATGTATTTTTGTAAACTGCATCAGAACAACATGTACAGGATTCCTAGGTTTTATTCTGTTTTTAAACCTGCCTTTATTGTTCCTCTGGGTTTTGTCACCCTGTTTGATTTAGTCACCCCGTTTGGTCTTGCAGGCCCATTCAATGTGTCCGTTTCCCACACTTCCTACATTCCAGATCTTTACTCCAGCATTCTGCGGCAAGGTGTCCTGGTTTGTCACATCTGTAGCATTTGTTTTGTATCCCTTTTTCAGTTGAGACTTTGTGCAGTTTCCCACTAGTGCTGAGCTGATGAGCTTCCTTTGCAGCTAACTCCATGGAAACACTTATCTCAATGGCTTTCTCCAAGGTTAGTGCACTTTCAGTTAGCAGGTGTTTCTGGATAGCCTTACTCCTCAACCCGCACACTAGTCTGTCTCTAAGAGTGTCCTTCAACACCTCATTAAATTCACAATATTCCGCTAACTTCTTTAATGCTGCTACAAAGACTGTCACAGATTCCCCTTCCTCCTGATTTCTCTTATGGAAGCAAAAACGCTCAGCAATTACCAAGGGTTTCAGTGAGAAGTGAGCTGCCAAAGTGTTTACTATAGCGTCATAGGACTTTCGTTCCTGCCTTATCAGGGTGCACAAGGGAACGTAGCAGATTAAAGGTTTTAGCACCCATTGTGCTTAAGAACGTTGGCACAAGCTTCTCCCTATCAATGTCATTAGCCTCCACAAAATAAAATAATTGATCCGCTCCATGTAGGAGCTCCACTGTTCTGTATTTTCGTCAAAAGGACCGATACTCCAAATGATCCCCACCATGTGGACTTCTCTTGTAGTCCCGTAGCCCAGTTACTCACAGTCACTGTCGCCTCTCACTCGCGCTGTCATGACCTGTCCTCCAGTCAGCTAACGCTAATCAGCAAGTTAGCTCGTAGTCTCTGACTCTAGCTTGCAACTGTGGCACACAGAAGAAACCAGGCCGTGCTGTCTCACACTCCGAAAACCACTGGCATCTTCGTTTTATCCTCGTCACCACTTTTGTTGTGTATCAATAGCCTTTCTTTAAATTATACTAAACACAACAAAAACGGCAGAATGTGCCGTTCAGTACAGATTTATTCTGGCCTTTTATATTTTTACATCCGGGTCACAACACAGTGCCCAACTACCCCAATAGATGTCAGTACAACCCATATGCTCAGTACATGACAGATGTCATCTTGAAGGCAGCATATGTTGCTCCAACATCTCTATGTATTGTTCAGCGTTAATGGAGCTGTAACCCTACAGTGGTAGTACTACTCGTAGCAGCACTAGGAATCTAAAGATAGGGTTATCAAAGACTAGGTTCGATGAGGAGGTTGGCAGTATACATAAGCTGTATAGTTGAAAGGGCTTATAGGTTCCACCCCAATGAGCACAGGACAACAGGCTGTAGTTAAACTGGTGTGCAATTATTATTTAAAGGACCTCATTCAATGCACAATCACCTAGCACCAACCACACCAAACACTAAGTACACAGTGTTCAAACAAATTGGTCAAAACATATACCTCTGAAATCTCAAATAAATAAAAATAAACTCCAAAGTCCAGGAAAAAAACAAATAATACCTCTGAGTGGAAATTGCTTTTGTACTTGTTGCTGCTAACAGTCTTGATGGTCCTTTTGTCTTTTGTCCGGAGCACATGGTGTCCATTCCATCCAAAAAAAACCCTGAAATACTGACCTATTTGACTAGAGTACATGTTTCTACTGTGCGATAGTCCATCCCAGATGCCTCTGAGCCCAGAGCAGTCAACCATGCTTCTGGACAATGTTGACATAGGGCTTCCTTTTGACACAGTGCAGTTTTAATAATCACCTTTATTTGGCCAAGTATGTTACACACACACAAGAAATTTGTTTCCTGTACAGAACTGAGGCAGCCATCTGCAGCGCCAACTCAACCAATGGCTCTAACTATCGGGGGCAACTTGGGGGTTCAGTGTCTTGTCCAAGGACACCGACATGTGGACTGCAGGCACCGAGATTCGAACCTTCAGTTGGGAGATGGCTGCTCTACCACTGAACCACAGTCAGCGTTTATACAGTGCCTTGCGAAAGTATTCGGCCCCCTTGAACTTTGCGACCTTTTGCCACATTTCAGGCTTCAAACATAAAGATATAAAACTGTAATTTGTTGTGAAGAATCAACAACAAGTGGGACACAATCATGAAGTGGAACGAAATTTATTGGATATTTCAAACTTTTTTAACAAATAAAAAACTGAAAAATTGGGCGTGCAAAATTATTCAGCCCCTTTACTTTCAGTGCAGCAAACTCTCTCCAGAAGTTCAGTGAGGATCTCTGAATGATCCAATGTTGACCTAAATGACTAATAAATACAAATAAACATATCCAGGTGTTAGAATGGCCAAGTCAAAGTCCAGACCTGAATCCAATCGAGAATCTGTGGAAAGAACTGACAACTGCTGTTCACAAACGCTCTCCATCCAACCTCACTGAGCTCGAGCTGTTTTGCAAGGAGGCATGGGCAAAAATTTCAGTCTCTCGATGTGCAAAACTGATAGAGACATACCCCAAGTGACTTACAGCTGTAATCGCAGCAAAAGGTGGCGCTACAACGTATTAACTTAAGGGGGTTGAATAATTTTGCACGCCCAATTTTTCAGTTTTTTTATTTGTTAAAAAAGTTTGAAATATCCAATAAATTTCGTTCCACTTCATGATTGTGTCCCACTTGTTGTTGATTCTTCACAAAAAATTACAGTTTTATATCTTTATGTTTGAAGCCTGAAATGTGGCAAAAGGTCGCAAAGTTCAAGGGGGCCGAATACTTTCGCAAGGCACTGTAGATGTAACTATATATTGTAGTGCCTGACACAGGTGTGCCAAAGTAATCTTGAGCCCATGTGGTTATATCACTTATAGAAGAGTGACAATTCTTTAAGTAGTGCCATCTGAGGGATCAGAAAGCACGGCCATCCAGATTAGGCTTGGCCCTTGCCCTTTACACACTGAAATCCCTCCAGATTCCTTGAATCTTTTAATGATGTTCTGCACTGTAGAGGGTGACATATCCAAATCCCTTTCTATCTTCAATTGAAAAACACTGTTTTTAAACATTTCTATAATTTTCTCACACATATGTTGGAAAACTGCCAGTCCTCAGCCCATCTTTGCCCAACTTTTTTTGGAATGTGTTGCAGGCATCAGAATTGAAGTGTGTTAATTTTGAACAAAGTTGATGAGGTATCACAAATAATGTGCTGCTGTATTGTTTCCAAAGTAATACAAGACACAGGTGATTTACAAGTCACTATTTTCAGTTTTAATTTACAGACTGTAACAACTTTTTCTGATTTGGGGTTGTGCACCTCTTTAATGTTACAGCTAGTAAAGGCGGAGCAGTTTGAAGTACTATTGAGTAGCTTGTGAATTTCCCACCAGGGATCAATAAATTCTCATAATTATGGTGTATCTGTTTCTGAAAAGTAAGTAGTAACTAAAGCTATCAAATAAATGTAGTGGAGTAAAAAGTACAATATTTGCCTCTAAAATGTAGATAAAAGTATGAAGTAGCACAAAATGAAAATACTGAAATAATGAAAGTACAAATACCTCAAGATATTACTTCAGTACAATAAAATTAACTGATTGGTGACTCTAAAAATTGCCCGTAGGAGTGAATGTGTGTGTGTGTGTGTGGTTGTTCATCTGCGTGTTGGCCCTGCAATGGACTGGTGACCTGTCCAGGGTGTATCCTGCCTTTCACCTGATGCCGGCTGGGATTGGCTCCAGCCCCCCTGTGACCCCGATTGGGACTAAGTGGTGTAGAAAATGAGATGAGAATAAAATTAAGTAAATGTACTGCTTCTCAGTGGACCTACTGTTGAGGACCAAAAGGGTCACATTAATTGTAAATGGAGAGAGTAAAAGTAAAAATAGCAGGAAAAAGTAATTGCAAATGGAAAGGAATTGGCCATTAAATGCCTGATTAAAACCTGTATTGTTAATCCAGTTATTTGTTTTATTATCTATTATTTTATAGATTATCAATTTAACAAAATGTATCTTCTTGCAACACAAAGTATTCACTTTACTTGAGAGAGCTTTTTATTTAAATAGGTTCACTTCCAGGTTAAGGTTTTTCACATTTACAGTGTACACATGCACTTTTTTGCTTTTAGCACAGCCATCTGAATCAGGGATTATACACTTGAGTAAATAAGTAGACTAAGAATTATAAAAATAGTATGTATAAACCATACAGGGGTTGCAAGTAAAGAGAGTGTATTTGCAGTGAGAACCTCTCACACATAAACATTATCGATCCTCCAGCGCTGTCAGTCAGTACTGTTCAGTACTGATTTTAACCAGCCCATAATGCTATAAATTCCTGTTAGATGTTGTATTTAGCTCAATGAAAATACATAATTATACAAGAGGCTTTTACAAAGACACGTACATCTGTCTCATCTGTGTATGTAACGGTCAGTGCTCTTTTGTAGTGAATCATTTCAACCATCAGAGGCAAAGTAGGGCAGAACCATGTTCTGCAAACTCTCCTCAGGATAATGACAATTCCCTTCACCTTAAGTTAAAAGCGTTTGAACATTTGTCCCAAAAAGTCTTCATTTACAGTTTTCATTTTAAACTCCAATCATGCCCCCCACACATCATTTTCAAATGAAAAAACAATTCCTCTCTAAAAGACAAGGTCACCATAATAGTGCAAAAATCTTCTCTTAAAAAGTCCATGCAAAGTCTATTTACTCACAAATGAGCCTTGTGCATACATCAGTAATGATACAACTGCCTCAACAAAACAACTGTTCCTGTCTTGATGTAAACAAGACAAAATAAGGTGGCAGGATGGACTGATAGGAAACAGTCCTGTGTATGTAGGAATCAATATGCCTATGATCGAACATTTTTCCCCATACATGTATGGTCAACGGACACAGTGACATCACTGATACCTCCAGCACAGCAACAAAGGGAGTCTAGGAGCACAGAATAATTATAAACATTGATTGTTAAACATCAGGTTTCATGCCAGTCCCTCAGAACCAAAGCAAGTCTTCAGTTTAGAGCCTTATAGAGGCTCAGCAAACACCTAGGGAGAAACCCATCGTTCTACAGACAGACACAGTAACTCCTGCAAAAGCTTCAGCACAGCAGGGGGCTGGAGAAAGGCATTCTTGGAAACACAGACGATCACTACCAATTGTATCAGTGGGTAGAGGAGGCTCAGGGAAGGTGAATATTTCCTTACAAACTACAACAATGTAGGATGACTGATGCAGTGCATTCATCACTTGGGACCCACTGTGCAATAACAACTTGAAAACACCTTCCATCATTTGAAACTTGAAATGGCCAGATGTGTTCAGATAAATGGGTACTCTCAAAGAAAAAATGCTTTCAACACTTACTACCTATATTTATCTAGCAATATACACACTGTAGTAGCTTACTGGTTTGTGAGTGTAGCAGCACATTCAGTTTATATTCAAGGCAAATTTCCAGTGATTATATAGGAAGATAAAAAAAAAAAGTTTAAACACAGAGTGAGCATGTGCACACAGTGGTATGTGGACAGAGTGAAGAAAGCTGTGGTGGTGTTCATCTAAAAAGGATTTTCATATTTTTCATCATACAATAAAATAATGTATAAAAATATATCTGTTAAATGAACAGTTTGACTTACCTTCTCAGTAATCCACTTATAAAACGCATAATATTTACACCAGCATCATACGTATTCCTTAGGACAGTTAGTAGAAAGACGTGAATAAGACAGATGTTAGGAAGGAATTTTGAAATGAAGAAAATGAGCACTCTTCCAAAAAAGAAAAAAGTTTTCAAATGAGAACTGTACTGGTGCAGAGCAGGACAACAAGTCTTATAACAACCACTAGAGTAAGGCTGGTTTGAGTTGAGAATGAGTGAGAGAACTGCAGACATGAGGAACAGAAATGCCACTGAGATAAGATTGACAGTGGGAGACACCAGACTTGTGTGTCTGTGTTTGTTCAGTACACACACACTGTGGTCTTATTGTGCTGCTGGAGAATGGGGGAGACGTTACTGGACTCCTGTTTCTTCTCGGCATTGTGCTGGACCAGGGGCAGCCTGTTGGCAGTCCTGCGGCGGGCTTTCTTAGCTAGCTGGCCTGAGGATGGTAATGATGATTCATCACTTGTTCTTTTGTTGTTTGGCATCCTGCTGCCAACTGTCCTGTTAGTGGGACTGGACCGACTGGGCAGCTCAGTACTACTGTGTGGACACAGTGGAGTCAGTGTAAACAGGTCAGACAGATCCATGTGGTACAGGCTGTTGCTTCCTGATAGTCCATCCCGTCGCTCCAGGGCAGGAAGAAGCTCGCACACACCAGAGGGAGAGTCTTCCTCTGGAGGCCGCTGCAGAAGAACAGAAGGGAAGAAACAGTGATGACAACTTCAGCACTTACAGTGGGGCAAATAAGTATTTGATACACCGCTAATTTTTCAAGTTTTCCCACTTACAAAGAATGGACAGATCTGTAATTTTCATCGTAGGTACACCGCAACTGTGAGAGACAGAATCTACAAAAAATTCCAGAAAATCACATTAAGATTTTTAAATAATTTATTTCCATTTTATTGCATGAAATAAGTATTTGATACAATAGAAAAATAGAACTTAATATTTGGTACCGAAACCTTTGTTTACAATTACAGAGGTCAGACGTTTCCTGTAGTTTCTGAATTTTTTGTAGATTCTGTCTCTCACAGTTGAGGTGTACCTACAATGAAAATTACAGATCTGTCCATTCTCTGTAAGTGGGAAAACCTGAAAAATCGGCAGTGTATCAAATACTTATTTGCCCCACTGTGTATGTGTGGATAATTCACATTTAAAACTACTTCAGACTTTTACAACATTGACAGTGAACTGAGATGACATTTGGGAAGCACAATAAATTATTACATTATACATTATTTCACAGCAATAAAAAAATGTGTGTTCTCTAGTCTTCTCAGAGTGGTTGTCATCCTGCCGTTACCTGGAGGAGAGGAGTGTCAGCACGAGATATAGACGTAAGAGGACACTGGGACAACTTGGCAAGGTCAAGCAGTGCCTCCTCATGGTGTAGGGTGTCCTGGGAGGTTCCAGGCTCCTGGAGGGCGATTACAATGGCACTGGTGTTGTCAGCGCGCAACATTCGCTGGCGCCACCGCAGCAGAGCATGACTGACCAGCTGCCGGGCGCTCGATACCCCAAACGGTGCCTGCAGCATGGAAGGCTGTTATTACACTGACACAGTCTGATAGATGATGGACATTCTTTCTTACTTTATTTTATTAATTTTACTGGCCAAGTATATTACACACACAAGGAATTTGTCTCCGGTACAGACACACACACACACACACCGATGGTAGCACTGTCTCATTGGGCCAACTTGGCGTTCAGTGTCTTGCCCAAGGACACTTTGACTCTTGGACTGGGGAGAATGAGAATCAAACTGACCTTTCGGTTAGGGGACAACTGCTCTATCTCCTGAGCCACTCTGTTACATTAGTTTTCAAGTATCAATCTAACCTTTAGTCTTCAACAGACCATCATCCACAGTATCCAATTCCAAATGCTAACAGCTACAGACTAAGCTAGCCTTTACAGACACAAGGCTTTGCTGTTGTAGCTTACACTCACCATCGCCTTGTCATTGTTCTGACAAATGGAGATGGCCTCCTGAGGTGGGACCATGTTCCACAGACCATCACTGCCCAGAATGATGTAGCGGTGTTTTCTGAGGTCAAGGGTCACTACACTGGTGTCTGGCTCAGGAGAAACCACAAACTCTCCACTGTAGAAATCGTAGCTCCACAGATCGCCTGTTGAGCAGAAGACAATCTTAGCTGAAGGTACCACTTGTCTTCACAAACACTCCTCATGATTACTGGCTGGGAGGATACTTTTTTTTAAAATAAAACTTGTAGTTGTCAGCAATTTCTGCTGCCCAACAATAGAGACAACAGAAAAGCTATAATCAAATGTTTTATGAATGAAAATAAATCAAGTGGCTATTTTTTTTTTAGAACTAGACCAAGGGTGATTGACAACTGAGGCCCAAAAAACTGGTTTGGCAAAACCCTTTGGACACTCTTAAGTCTCCAATGACAACTGATGGCTCAAAAAAAAAAAAAAACTTTTACTAAACTGTAGAGGTGTGTATCTCTCCCTCTCACATATGATATGATACATATCTCAATATATGGTTCATGATTCAATACAAAAACTAATTTGTAACGATACAATACAGTGTGATTCAGAATGATTTCGATTCAGTTCAGCTAATATTTAATTCAGCTTTTATTTGAAAGACGATATGTACATTAAAGTATCTGTTGAGGGTATACAATTAAAAAGAGTTAGTGTTTCTTCAAAGCAGTTTTATATTTCAAAAGCCAAATTGTTGTGTTCTCTACAGTGTATTATATTGCATGTTGTTCTTGAAGCCGTCACTAGGGCCACTATTGCTCTAAGGACCTGTGTCATCGTGGGTGTAACTCAGGGGTGGGCAAACTTTTTGGCTCAGGGGCCACATTGACTTTTAAAATTTGATAGATGGGCCGGGCCAGCACCAGATGCATACATATCAAACATAAACATATAAAAGGCATTACAGTGTTAATACTTGCATTAAACCACGCCCCCACCCCACCACCCTTCCACACAAAGAGCAATAAAACTCTGGACCTACTGTAGGCTAATGCCTGTTGTTTTAGTCTCTACTGCTGTTCGTGATTCTCTCCAGTGCTGCTTTGCCCTGTTTTTAGGTGCCTTTGATTTGCTTATTTGTGCTGTGTAAAACGTAACGTTCTGATGACGCTACTTTTATAACCCTTGTGTGTATCGGTTCTAATGCTTTGTTGCCTTTATGTAACTTTTTATTTTAAAACCAAGTGTTCTTTGTTACTACGTGCTTACATAGGCATGCGCCGCTTGGAGTGGCAGCAAGATAGCAAGATACAGCAGCTGTGTCCTCGTTGTGTTCTTTTCGTGTTTTTATGTAGTTCTGTTCTTATGGTGGTATCTGTTCTTATGGTGTTATGTTGGTTGTTCTCTATTGCTGCTGTAAGACAGAAATTTCCCCACTGTGGGATCAATTAAGTACCTACTCTACTCTACTCCACTTTTTGTGGGAACAGTGTTGTTGATCACCCTTTTTTGCCAGTGCATCGAAGTCTGGTGTTAGTTTCCGTTTCAGGGTCTTGTGTGAAGGGACATGACACCAGCTGAAGTGACTTGACAATTTTTCCAAAATCGGAGAACCCACGGCAGAATTCTCCGTGCAGGTCGTCCAGTGATTTCCTGTATTTTTTCACATCGAGGGGCCTCTTTCAGCATAGCCAGTGTGGGCAAATGAGCGAATGACTTATTTGACATTTGCTTTGAGAATAAAGCTAGCTTGGTTTTGAAGGCTCTGATGTTTGCGAACATGTTGTGAACATGTTTTGTCCTGTGGCACCGTTTCAGGGTCTTGTGTGAAGGGACATGACACCAGCTGAAGTGACTTGACAATTTTTCCAAAATCGGAGAACCCACGGCAGAATTCTCCGTGCAGGTCGTCCAGTGATTTCCTGTATTTTTTCACATCGAGGGGCCTCTTTCAGCATAGCCAGTGTGGGCAAATGAGCGAATGACTTATTTGACATTTGCTTTGAGAATAAAGCTAGCTTGGTTTTGAAGGCTCTGATGTTTGCGAACATGTTGTGAACATGTTTTGTTGACATACTTTCTCCAAACTTAACCAGCGGACATTAGAGTGATAAAGCAAGTCCTGGTGATCAGCGTCAGTTTCTTCAAGAAACTTAATAAACTGACGATGCTGAAGTCCCCTTGCTCGAATAAAGTTAACGAGCTTTACAACTGTCTTCACTACGTGGTCAAGCTGCAATACAGATTTACACAGTGCTTCCTGGTGGATTATGCAGTGTAGGAAAATTACCTCCTGCTTAGGGTTGTCCTCTTTCACCCTCTCCTGGATTCTTTTGAGCAGCCCGACATTTTTTCCAGTCAGATTTGGCGATCCATCTGTGGTAAC